TTTAAAGGATCAGTTACAAACCACAGTTAATAGTTCTGCAATTTCACATTTGAGTTCTTTCAGAACTCTTGGGTGAATGCCATCTGGTCCCGGTGACTTGTTACTATTAAGTTTATGAATTTGTTCCAAACCTCCTCTAATGAAACGTCAATCAGGGACAATTCCTGAGATGTCATCACCTAAAAAGAATGGCTCTGGTTTGGGAATCTCCCCAATATCCTCAGCCGTGAAGACTGAAGCAAAGAATTCATTTAGTTTCTCCGCAATGACTTTATCAGCCAGCTTCCTGCTTCTGATGTACTTAAAAAACATTTTGCTATTACATTTTGAGTTTCTGCTAGCAGTTCTTCAAACTCCTTTTTGGCTTTTCTTATTATATTTTTACACTTAATTTGACAAAGTTTATGTTCCTTTATATTTTCCTCATTAGGATTTGACTTCCACTTTTTAGAAGATGTCTTTTTATCTGTGTCTGCTTCTTTTACTTGGTTGTTAAGCCACGGTGGCACTTCTTTAGTTTTCTTACTGTGTTTTTTAATTTGAGGTATACAGCCACTCCCATGGAGCGGTTGTAAAGGCGGTCACCGAGTTACGAACGCGACCCGCACTTACAAACAGCGCGGTCACGTGTAACTCAATGGGACCGAGTTACGGCCAAATGTTTGGTCCATAACTCGTTTGTAACTCGGAGAGAGGCTGTACATTTAAGTTGGGCCTCTATTATGGTGTCTTTGAAAAGCTTCCATGCAGCTTGCAGAAATTTTACTTTTGTCACTATGCCTTTTAATTTCTGTTTAACTATCCTCCTCATTTTTGTGTACCCCTTTCTGAAATTAAATGCCACAGTGTTGGCCTGCTGAGGTGTTTTTCCCACCACAGAGATATTAAATTTTATTACATTAGGGTCTCTGTTTCCAAGCGATCCAGTTATATTTACCTTTTGGACCAGATCCTGCACTCCACTTAGGACTAAATCCCATTGTGGGTTCCAGAGCCAGCTGCTCCAAGAAGCAGTCATTTAAGATATCAAGAAATTTTATCTGTGCATCGCATCCCATCCTGAGATGAAGTGTACCCAGTCAATATAGGAACAGTTGAAATCCCCCCACTATTATTGAGTTTTTTATTTTGATAGCCTCTCTAATCTCCCTTAGCATTTCATAGTCACTATCACTGTCCTGGTCAGGTGGTCAATAATAGATCCCTACTGTTATATTCTTATAATTGGAGCATGAAATTACTATCCATAGAGATTCTATGGAACATTTTGGCTCATTTAAGATTTTTACTTCATTTGATTCTACATTTTCTTTTACATATAGTGCCTGGAGAACCTTCATTGCTGCCCTACACGCCAGCGGGCGTAATAGGCATTAACTAATGTTACTTTGCTTACTATTAGAGGATCTTTACAGTATGTATATAATAGACATTCAGATTGTAAAGTATTTTACATATGAAAACTGTGTACTGTTTGGGCTCGTCTACATTGGCCCCTTTTCCGGAAGGGACATGTTAATTTCAGAGATCGCAATAGGGAAATCCGCGGGGGATTTAAATATCCCCCGCGGCATTTAAATAAAAATGTCCGCCGCTTTTTTCCGGCTTTTAGAAAAGCCGGAAAAGAGCGTCTACACTGGCCCCGATCCTCCGGAAAAAGCGCCCTTTTCCGGAGGATCTTATTCCTACTTCAAATAAGTAGGACTCCCCCAGACGGTCGGAATTACAATCTAGATTTCTATATACAAAGCTTCCGCAACAACGCACAGACTGACATTATTCGCAAACAACAACAAGCGACACACAATCTCAGCCACGCTGAACAACATGCCATCCAGAGTCTCAAAAACAACCTGGACATTATAATCAAACCAGCTGACAAAGGTGGTGCTGTGGTCATTATGAATAAGGCCGATTATAACCAAGAGGCAACCAGACAACTCTCCAACACCACATTTTACAAACCTCTCTCCTCTGATCCTACCTCGGAATACCAAAAGAAATTACTCTGTCTCCTTAAAAGCCTCCCTACAGCTACTCGGGAACAAATCCACACAGAAACACCTTCTGACCCCCGACCAGGATTTTTCTATCTGCTTCCCAAGATCCATAAACCTGCACACCCAGGACGCCCCATCATCTCTGGTACTGGCACACTCACTACTGGTCTATCCAGCTATGTAGACTCGCTCCTCAAACCCTACGCAACCAACACCCCCAGCTATCTCCGAGACACTACTGACTTCCTAAGGAAACTACAAAACATCGATAACCTCCCCAATAACACCATCCTTGCCACCATGGATGTAGAAGCACTATACACCAACATCCCACATGAAGACAGATTACAAGCTATTAGAAACACTATCCCAGAGGACACCACTGCCAACCTGATAGCAGACCTATGTAACTTTGTTCGCACCCACAATTATGTCCAGTTTGAGAACAACTTATACCTCCAGATCAGCGGCACAGCCATGGGTACACGCATGGCCCCACAGTATGCTAACCTTTTGCCTACCTCTCATCTACATGTTTTGTTAGTCTTTAAAGTACTACGAGACTGTTTTGTTGTTTTTTAAGTTTTTCTTGTTACAGACTCACTCAGCTACCCCTCTGAAGTTTATAAAAAAGTTTCTATACTGTTCCATTATGTTTGCCTCCCTGTTTCCTTTCTCCTTTGGTGAGTTGGGCAGGCAGGAGTTTTTGTAATAATATAGCAGACATACACTCAGTGCCCACTGTACCTCAGCTGGTGCTGGATAATCAGCGCCTCAACTCTAAAGGAGCTGGCATTACAGAAGTGATAGAGCACCCCACGTTTTGTTGCCGATATTCCATCTCCCATTGCAGAGACTTGGGATTAAGGTGGCTTTCTCAACTAAAAGTCTTCCACATGTTTGGATGTTGTGATTGTGAATACCTGGAGAGGCAGACTGCTCAAGGCGAAGTTGGCCTTGAATCTTGATATCTGTGGCTTCAGTTGAATGGCTTGTGTGAAATTTGGAAGAGCAGCTCAGAGAGACCTCTCTCCTTTACTTAAAGATAGAATCTTATCTTAAGACAGAAGCAGACCGTGAAGAACTTCAAAAAGATCTCACCAAACTGAGTGACTGGGCAACAAAATGGCAAATGAAGCTTAATGTGGCTCTGGGAGACAGACCCATAGTCTCCTATAGACAACCACCTAACCTCAAGATGATTCTTACCAACAACCACAGGACATACCACACTAATACCAACCCTGGTACTTTCCCTTGCAACAAACCGGGAAAGTTTGTTTGTCCACATATTCACTCTGCTGACACCATTATTGGGCCTAACCAAGTGAGTTACAAGATCAAGAATACATATTCCTGCGCCTCCAGAAATATAATCTATGCTATCATGTGCCGAAAGTGTCCGTCTGCTATGTACATTGGACAAACGTCTCAGACACTTCGCCAAAGAATCAATGCCCACAAAACAGACATTAGACAGGATCACAAAGAAAAAACAGTTGCTTGTCATTTCAACCAGAAAGGACACTGTCTCAATGACCTACTCACCTGCATCCTACTTCAGAAGACATTCAAATCTGCACTTGAAAGAGAATCCTCTGAACTGGCATTCATGCTACAATTCGACACTCTCCACGGGGGCATGAACAAAGACTCCAGCTATCTTACCCATTACAAAGATAGCTTCCCTAATTATCACCTCTAACACTATTAACTCACAGACATCTACCCTTCCCCACCTCTAATATCATTAACTCACAGGCATTCACCTTCCTTTCCCTCCCCTCCCCCCGCATTCCCCTTCTGTTCTGAAATGTGATTTGTCCTTTTCATATGTGTTCA